AAATCCAATATATTGGCAGACTAACAGTATGGTTAAAATTGAGGTACTTTGGCATTTATTTAAATTATTCTTCTGTTCTCATGAGCATTGAAATTTATTTCACTCACTAGCGGGAACCATTGCGAATACATTGATATATAATAATATTCAATTATGTTAGTTTCTTCGATGATTTGTGTCCTCATCTGAAGCTCTGTTACATGGTAAAAATATACATACTAAATCGCCCCCTTAAGAAATACCTATTTGAGTATTTTGAAAAAGCCCACTTTTATAATGCTGTTTGTCAAAATATTTTGACAGACAGAACACAGATGATAGAGAAAGTAATTTTGAGCCCCTTTAAAGGGGTTCATTAAGACACAATTTTATTATAATATCTGGAGGAATTACTTAATTAAACCGAATTGACACATTGGTTTAAATAAAGTAATTCCTCGTAATAAATGGACCTCTGTATAAAATTTCATCAATTTATTTCGAATCATTTCCGAGATATTGTAATAAAAACATTTTTGACCAAAATTACTTTCTCTATCACCGAAAATGAAACACCCTGTATATTTTTCCCTGGAATGTAACGAACGCGATACTTCTAAGCAATTTTCTGGTTTTTCAGTAAAACAACTATATATATTTTCTATTTTTCAAAGTTATTCATACAATTTTTTTCTGAAATGAACTTCGAAAATTATGTTCTTGTAATTCACGCTTCATAATACATTTAAGTATGCTATCGATGTATCTGAAATAAAAAAAAAAATATTGCTGATTTCTATTTTTTTTCAAAGATACATTTTAAAAAAAGTTCAAAACTGGAAGTTATAAGAGAAATATTGGGTAAGCCACTCGATTTTAAGCAAAAAAAGATTATTCGGGAAGCAGAAGAAACCCCGCAGACATTTGCAAATAACTTTCGGGATTGTTTCATTCAGTCAAAACAAACAAAAAAAAAACATTTTCCTAAGATGATTTCTACGCACCTTACAATCCGTCGAATGTATAACATGAAACAAAATTTATTTTTTGAATTTATACCTACTCAAAAACCATTAAAAATATCAATTTTATAAATTGTAGTAGACAGGTCAATTCTGTGAGTTTCTTATTATAATTAGTATAAAAGAAACAAGTTAATCTCACAAAAATCTGTGTTTTCGTGACAACAAATTATTTTACATCTTCAGATCAGAATTTTTACTGAAATAAGAATATCGATAAGAAATATTTTTAAATAACAATTCTGACCTGAAGATGTTCATAAAACCGGTAGCATTATACTTAAACACATAATTATGTGACGTTGGATAATTTCTTTTTATTTTAATTCAAAATTTGTTAATAACCCTTTGATAGTAGCTACATAGATACATGCAAAATCTACACAAAAACTAATCAGTGGATTTAGAAGGTATCTTAGGAATTGTACCTGAGAGAATTTCCTTCAATTTGAATAGGCTATTCCCAGAGAAATCTGTAAAGAAAAACCAAAAGGCACATCTTTTGTTTTTTTTTTTTGTAAAACTCATCGCTCAAAAGTCCAAAACAATTAAAATTTTAGGAGCTTATTAGCAACAGGTAACAGATAGCAATTTGGGGTAGGTTATTACGAAAAGTTGAATATATTCTTCTATCTATATATTTTAGTCAAATAAATGCAAATTTATACAAAACCTTACATTATAGTTGCTTTCTTTTATTGCTAACTATATTCTCTTAACATTGTCATGGTTCGGGACTTTCACCGTAACCATCACAAGAACAACTTAAGTACAAAGGTTTTAATTGGAAATGGCCTTTTCAAATCTTTTAAGAAATGGATCCTTGCGACATCAAATAACGTTTTTTTTTGACAATAGAAATTGTACACATTTGTGTTTACCATGAGGGAATTGTACTGCATCACTTTCACAATTTTTCACAAGGCAGTTTTCTTAGAAAAAAAGGTTAAAGGCAAAAAATACACGAGTGCAAATGAACCTTATAAAATAAAGACATCCTCGGTTTACTATTTTAATTGTTCCATACAGTGTTTGGTATAAAGGAAGTGTTTTGACATATCCAAATACGTACAGAATTTGCGTAAATACAGTTCTGTCTATTTTAGGGCCGCATGCTGAAAAACGACGAACGAACGAGCATCACATCTGGAGCCGGCGTCTCGTGTCTTCTCCTCCAAAACATCACCGCCGATGACAGCGGAAAATACGACATTTGCGTAGAGAACATCCATGGAGCGGACTGTAATTACGCTTCTGTGTCCGTAGAAGGTAAAGATATTCATTATTTCGCTACTGCCATAACCTTCAAGAGACTTTTTATGTTACTTTGGTTCCAGACTGCTTAACAAACTACGTCTTGGAATATGCATGCGTGTGTAAATGGTTTATTCTACTATTCGGTTCTGTACTTCCGTATACATTGAATTTGTAACTTTTGTTAATATAGTCTCCGATGCGTTGTTTGTACCATTTAGGTAGGTTCTAGTCAGGGTGACACAATCTGCATCAGCAACAACTTGAATTTTTTAATTTATAGTTACTTTTGAACGTAACGAAAAAAATTTTCTTAGGCAAATATAATGGTAAAAATGTCAATAGAGCAATCTCCAACAGCAAAGAAATTTTGGACAAAAACAAACTGCTAATGTCTATTGTACTTCATTAAAAAAATATACGCAAAAGGTGATAAAATATATAAAAATAAATCTATTTTTTTCTTTTTATTTTAGAGAACGAATATACCCCACGTGTATATTCGTTCTCTCTTAATATTCTTAATATTCGATAGTCAAAATATTATTTCTGTACAAAAGTGGACAAAATTGGAAAATTGATTGGATGAAAGATAGTTTTGTGGAGGCATATAACTACTCAAATCCTACTATATTCTGCCCACCTGTGTAATGATTTACAATTATTTTATAATGGGAACTTGGTTTTAAATTAATAAACTCCATTCTTAGTCCAGTCATTGAAGGCGAAAATAAGGTACCTAAAAGCTCCCAATTTTTTCGGATAGCATGGATTTTCCTGAAAATTTTGCATACAAGTTCATCTGACTCCTTTCTTCAAAAGTTTTATTGTCTAGATGTGTGCTTTTTTCTAGTTGGGGGTGAAAATTATCCTTGTACGAAAAAAATGCGGAAATCGCAGATTTACGTATTTTATAGATTCAATTCATGTTCAAATAAGTTGGATAAAGTTCCTTTCATGTTTTTTAATATAATTTATGAAATTTAATTACTTTTCATCCCTTAAAAATCCTTAAAAACTACCATTGCATGGCCAAAAAAATAGAAAAAAAGTTTTTAACAGTTTTTTTATTCTTTTGGTGCATTCACAATGTCATTTCTTTTGTTATTCATTAGAAAGCTTACGACTCATTACAAAGTTGCAACCCTTAAAAACCATCCCTTGTAATAAAATAAACAAAAAAATATTATTGAAAGCTTGAGATGTTTTAATGGTATGCATATGTTGAATTATAAACTTTTTATTGGTTTTCAAATGATCTATGATATATTGCAACTTTTCAGCCACCCAAAAAACCCTTATGGAAGACTTACCCCTCATAAAAAACTCTACCCTTATAGAAAAATTTCCTAAAAATTATATGTGAGTAAGATGATATAATTAATATACAAAGATAATGGTAATTTACCCGCTCCGAAAATTTTACCGAAAAAATGCGATTAATTTTTTTACCATAACTTTTGTAATTATTTGTTATAAATTTACTCAAAAAACCATTTTGTAGAAAATTTAAAGCACTTTAAGTTATGTGATTTGCATTTTTTTTGAGCCTTTCGTTTTTTAGATTTATAAGCTAAAAGGCTCAGGAAAGGCAGTTTTGGAGCTTAGTTTTGAGCTTCTAACGGTCATAACACTCAGTTAAATTTTATCCTACAAAAATTTAAAAAAGCAAATTGTTCAGTAAGAAAAATCCTACAATTTCTTAGTCTATCATCTCTTTTATAACTATGTTAGTTTTTGAAATATTTTGAAAAAGGCGATTTTTTAAATAAAATAACAAATTATTACTTTATTTTATGGGGAATTTAATTCTAAAACTTTTCTTACTCTCGTTAGTTGTCAAAAACTTTGTCGTTTTCAACAAAAATACGAATAACTAATAATAAATACGTATTGTAGCATTGTTATTTAAAATCATCGAAAATTCAAAAGTTGGCTATGAATTTAAAGGTCAAACTTGACGATCAGGAAAAAAATTGGAATAAGAATAATTTAATAGAAAAACAAACAACTTAAACAACAGAAATAACATACAATTTGCATTGGTAAGTTATAGAAATTGTTCAAAATGATCACCGTTTTCTCTTTTCTTGTCGAAAACTGAAGTCTAGATACTNCGCTTCGGTGGCGTTCCCATTAGCACGACCATACATGAAATGCATGTCTGTTAATTCTGCGTTAGAGTAACCAGCCATAGCGAAAGAAAACTTGTGCACTGAGAACAACTGTCAAATACGTACTGTTTATTTCACTAAACATCAACCAACTATTATAAGAAAATACACGTTTTTGCAAAATAAAAAAAGGGGCTAAAAAACATAAAACATTCCATATCTCCGCAATCGTTACTTTGCGGACCCATGTTTATTGAGAGTTTTCTGCTTATTTTGGTTCATACTATTACCTCTTTAAATATTTTACACTCTTTTTTGAACACCCTGTTTATATGTATATCTTTATCGTTTCAGTGTGCTTTGGTAACAAAATTTTAATTTTCAGCAACACCTCTCTTCTTGTTGCTTAGGTCGCTTAAAGGTATCAACTGAAAATGAGTAATTTCTTCCCCTACCTCCAAAATTAAAAATATAAACAGGAAGTAATAAATATTTAGTTTCAGACACCACTTCCTCGACGTCAGAATTGTTTCTCAATAAGGTTCTAATTTCCATTTTTCGTGTTTGTTCTAATGATTGGTTGTTTCGGCCAAGGATAAAGTTTACATCTTCTGTTGGGATTATCTGAACCTCCGGAACAAGATATATTTGTTGTTCACTGTTCAGTCAAATGTGAAGTGTATGTACATATAGGACGCATTTAGTTTTGTTCTGTACATAAAACATCATAATGAGTGTTTTACTGTTTGAAGTAAGTTAATTATTGAATGCTTTTAAGTAGTGTTTATTTGTAACTAAAATTTCAGCTAGTCAAAAATTAATAGTGTTCACTATAATAAAATAATAAATAATTTTGTAGTGGAATACCCATGTGGTAATAATTTTTAGATTATTACCAATTGACCGTTATTTTGCAGAAAAAATAAATAAATAAATAAATAAATAAATAAATAAATAAATAAATAAATAAATAAATAAATAGATAAATAGATAAATAAATAAATAAATAAATAAATAAATAAATAAATAAATAAATAAATAAATACATAAATGCATAAATAAAAGTAGTTGTAATGTTACGGGATGGATTTTCGAGAAATGTTGAATAGTGAAACCGCAACTTGATATCTTGAATCGTTTAAGGACGGGATTTTGACAAAAAATATCGCCCAGCGTGAGTCACGAAACGGGACCCCGGCAGGTGCTGTTCTAGCGGCCAACGCTTCAAGTCTAATAATTCCGCTGCACCGGATATTCGTCCGATTTTTCAGGAACGGCTCCAATTTGTGTACATACAATCTTATAAGGAAAGAGAGTAAATATTTTATTAATCAGTAATAGATTATCGAGGACAATAATATTTTTTTATTGAGTAGGCAATAATTTTTAGTTAATAAGCTTAAACAATCTTATAATTACTATTCCTTCATTATAAAAACAGAAATACGGTTTTTAAAATTACATGTAGTTTCTTCTTCAAAAGTGACCTTAAAACACGTATAACATGGAATAGTCAACAGTCTAATGTTTATATTTTCACATTAACAATGCGATAATGTAAATTAACTGCTATTTTCAGTAAAAAAAATATATACCTAACCTGAATTATTTTTTTACTTTG